GCAGCCAACTACTAGGAAGTACCAAAAACCTACTTTTTCTGGATCCTCTGGATTTCTGTCTGGGTGGTATTTCAATGCAAGTTTTCTATAAGCTTTCTTCAGTTCTGTGTCTGATGCATCTGGTCTAACCCCAAGTAAATCATAGTATCCTGTTTCTTTCACCATTTTGCTTGTTCTCTATAGAAAGAAAATATTTATACCATTATTATTAATTATATCTCTTCAAGAATGAGACAGAACATGGTTCTTAAATAAAATCACACTATTACTTTTGCTGGCTTTATTGCATTTTCATGATGATTTTTTTTTTTTCACCTTGATAAAAGCTTGAACTTTGGGCAGTGATAATACGCTATGTTCTTGCTGCCATGTCTTTTTAATAAAATCATTATACATACAAAACACACTTAATTTCCTGATATTCTGGATAGTATATACACACCACATCCAAACTGATTCACGGCCGAAATGGATGGCATTCTTTTGTATTGCCTCTCCTATAGTAATACGCCTACTTGTTGGGTATGATGGGCCTAGAATACATACAATAGGAACAATACAAAAATTGCTGAAAAAAATTAGCCTAAAACGTGTTTCAATAATTAAATAAATTTGAAGCGAAGGGGCTATTGTTACACTATTTCGTAAACCTATTCCTCTTTCCGATTTTCAGGTATTGTATAACATACTATAACAAATGCTCCTGGAGGCTAAGATGCCTCAGCCTATTATTAGAGCCCTAGCCTCTACTTTTCACACTATATACTGTACATCAGCCTGCCAAACAAAGTAAAAAAGAAAAAGAAGTGGTTATTCGCACCGTGCGAATTAGGAATAAGAACTTATTCGCACGGTATGACAGCCGTTACGTTATGAAAACTTAAATGCTGATTGGCTAGGTCTTATGAGTCTTATTCGCACAATACCGTGCAAATAACTCCTTATTGACACGGTTATTAGCATGGTACCGTGCGAATAAGTTCTCGTTCTAATTCGTTCGCACGGTAGGTTTAAAGATCACAGTATCTGCGAATTGTCAAAAATCTCTTATTGTTGTACATAGAAATACTGTATAACTATTTCACAGCATACCGTATCAGTTGGGCACAGCACAGACAGTCAATTCGATAACCCTAACTGAAGTGCAACAGGTCTTAGCTTAGCATTGTGTCTGCAGAACTTTTACTCCTTTCTTAGGCTATCCTTAAGAAATTGCCATGAAAAAAGCCTTTGTGGAGTATGTACTGGCCTAGTAGCCTAGTAGTGATGTTGATTTTTGTTCCATTTAAAAATATTAAATGGGGAAACAAAAGAAAATTAATTACTTAAGCCCCTCTCCCACTAGGGCATACGAGTTACAAGAGAGAAAACTTGGGAAAAACTCGTAGGACGATTCGGAAAGCTTGGAGAGGACTCTTACCTACTTGTAGCAGCTCTGAACTTGTGGCGCTAATTTTGAACATGTTCAAAATTATCGCCACGAGTAGATAACGAGTAGTAAACTCGAAGAACTCGTAGGTAGCTCGTAGAGTACCCGGGGTACTTCTACCTAGCTCGTACACTACTCTGGATACTCGTCGGCGGTTTTGTCATCTACGAGATTGATGCGAGCACCCAATATAGAGTACGAGTAAGTACGAGCGCACCGAGTTGGCTCGTACCTAACTCGTATCTAATTTGGTACAAACTTGTTACGCTCGTAATAATCTCGTAGTTAACTCGGTGCTCTGCTCGGCATAATTCGTATCGTAACCAACTCCATAAAGTCGTACCTCACTCGTAGTTAACACGTAATAAGCTCGTATAGGTCCTTTCCAAAGATCACAAGTTTTAACTCGTAGAAATCGTACGACTCTTAGGTGAAATAAACCTAGGTGGGAGAGGGGCTTTAGCACCAACCATGATGGGAGTTGGAACAGAGGAGAATGAGAGGATGCCAAACTGATGCAAAAATACTTAATTTTATGTGCAGCTTTAATAGGGATTTAATATTGTGGGGTGCAGTCCTGCTGCACTTAGCCCACCTGTAGACTCGTACATCTCTAAAAGTCTCTCCTAATCGCTCTCTACCATAATAAATCCTGGATCCAACACCGAATTTGTACTATATACTCTACTGGAAAATAAGATTTATATTGATGCACATTCTTCACTGCCTTTTGGACCTTTTCCAATGTGTGGGAGTGTTTTTGAAATGCTACTGGATACATTGATTGTAGGCCTACTGATATACATAAAGCACATAGCAAATATTGCTCAGAGACCTGTGATACTTTAAGATTGTTGTATATACAGTACTCTACAACAAGGTTATTTTCGTCCTGAAATTTCTTTAAAGAAATCAACAAATGAATTGTAGTCACTAAATGCCTGACCGGCCTTTATTGACATCAGGCTTTCATGGCTGCTTTTGTTATTATGAACAACCAGAAACCAAACAAAGAAGAAAGCTTTTATAATATTGGTGCTTTTTTTAAAGACAGTGTCACTACGATGCTGACTGGCTACGTCTACCGTGCGAATAGTGTATTATTTACTTTTTGCATGGTAGACAATGTTTGTATGATACAATAGGTTCTATCTGAAAAGGTATTTTGGTTCGATTAAATAAGTATCTCGTAAAATATTTAGGTCATTGAACCTTTTGAGACGATACCGTGTTAATACAGTACATCGTGTTAATTCACGATGTACTGTGCGAATTTGGAATAAGAACTTATTCGCAAGGTATGACAGCCGTTACGTCATGAAACCTTAAATGCTGATTGGCTAGGTCTACTGTGCGAATAACCACTTCCAAAAAAAAAAAAAAAACCCAGTCCAGACGGTGCTAATAATAATAGAGGGATGGTTTCGCACTGCGGATTTGGTTATGTTGAGCGATTGGGTGGATATACTGGCCAATAATAATTTGTTAATTAAATTAATTAGAAACCATAATTATCATATAAGAAGTGGATTATATTAAAGTCAAATTATAAAAGAACTGTTAGTGTTGAATAACTGTAAGTTTTAAATAATTTGGTAACCGTTTTCTGGGCCGGATGCAAAACCGTATTAGCGCCCGCCAGGCTATGCAAAAAAAAGCGAGCCAGGCCTATGCATTGCTAGTCTAGAGAAGGATAAGTCTAGGCTCTAGGGCCTAGGCCTATACTAGTGGTTATACTCACCTATGATAGGCCTAGTAATTAAAATTAAACTAAATTAATGATATCAAACTTCCTTAATGTGTATGGTACCCGCATAAATGTCTTTTAACGGAAAACTATGAATAATCACATTAAGTACTACAATAAGAATACAACCAGAATCACACGGTTCTCTCAGTCTCAGGAAACTTCTCGTTGTAGTATTAGCCTTACCAAAAAAACTTTAAATAAAAATAACTATTTCTTCCACAGAATAATTCAAAATATAGTATCTACATTTAAAATATTATTAAAGTGATCTACAAAATATACATAGTTAGTTAAATCTTTATTTTATATGCGCAATTAATTATTTGTGTTAAACTATACATATATAAACGTAGTAGGTTTAACCAAAGTCTGGATACTAAAAATACAAGAATACGATTTTTTATTTTTTTTATTTTTTTAATAAGATGCTTTACTTTGCCTCTTTTTCGCTAAGATAGTTTAATAATTTGTTATTATCAATACTAATTATCAATAATGAAATAATAGTCAGTCAAAGGGCTTATTTATGGTAATAATATGTATATTAAGCCAAAGTGGCGCTTTCCTACGGCGGCCATCTTGGATGGTACACATACATGATAAAGTCGCCGCATATATGCAGAACGCAGAATGATAAAGTCGCAGCCTAATCAAAGATACTAGAAATACAAGATAGAGTTTTCCACACAAAAAAAGTGTTCCACTGTGTTCCACCGAAATGCCTGATGGGAATACGAAAAATGGGACGCCCCCTACAGCTGGATCTAAAAAAAAATTTGCCAAACTTTCGTTACCAAGTCGTCACGTATTTTATTATCAATTCTCAACAAAGATACTAGATATAAAAACAAACTGGAATAGACACCCAGACAGTTATCGGTGAATACATAACCTCCTTGGTGGCGGTAGAAATCGTTGCTATTATCCAAATAATACACAAAACAATTAAAGCATAATCATGAATCAGTAAAGAATAAAACAACAATACAGCGCAGAATCACATGGCCGGACGCGCGCTGGCCGGACGCACTCTTAGTGAAAAAGTTTTCCTTCATTAGTGGAAAAGGAAGGGCGCCTTTTGCGTCTGGATAAACTTAGCAACAGAAGGGCGCCCTGTACGTTGGGAACGAAGTATAGGAAACTTGCATGGTTAAAAAGAAGGGCGCCGCCTACGTTGGGCACGACTTCCGCCTCATTTTTACAATGCGAGAACTCTATCTTGTATTTCTAGTATCTTTACCTAATGGTAAATACGCCACACAGAAAGTCGCCACTGAAGGCACTGTGGGCGTTCCATACGTATGGAACGCCCACAGTGCCTTCTGTGGCTCATATACATAGAGCTTATTATATCTCTATGCTCATATAGCATTCGGCTGCGCATTTACCATTCGGCAACCCATTGCATTCGGCGCATTTGTTATGCGGCGGCGACTTTTTCATTCGGCGGCGACTATGTATTCGGCGCATTTGTTATGCGGCGCCGACTTTTTCATTCGGCGGCGACCCTAGCATTTGGCGACTACATCATTCGGCCACTTTAGCATTCGGCGACTGAAGCTATATATCATTCGGCGACTTTAGAATTCGACGACTATAGGACTGTATGAATTGGCGACGATCCAATAGAGGTATATTTGGTATACCAAAACGGACTTCGGTCAAGTTCCAACTCCAGAGCTATAATAAATAATATGATGAAAATTACATAGAATTACATTGGAATACAAAGCAATACTTTTACAGATGGAGAGTGTAGCTGGACTACCACCTCAGCCCCACCATGGTTGGGGCTGAGGTAAGAAAATTAATGATTATGAATTAATTTGAATTTGAATATAATTTTAATTTTTCTCCACTTTTAAATTTCGGAAAAAAAAAATAGTGATGGTGGGCCGGCTGGGCCCCTTGAATCTGCCACTGAAATACTCATCATAAAAAATTATCCTTTTTAGTCATAATTATGCCCGCTTATATATTTCGTGCAAACTAACATTCATAAAAATAATGATTTATTATCTACTGATTAGCTTGTAACGTATTCAAAATTCGAACTATGAAAAACAAATAAGATAAACTTACAACAGTCATTAATTTAGTCATTTGCATGTACAGTACTTTTAAAATCAATCAAGAGGTTTTTACTTTTTCCTCTTTTTGAATTTCACTTTTGTGTAAGTAATATTGCGATAAATTATTGTGAGTGGAAATAATACAGTCTAATTTACGATCAAACAGGACTAGGGAGATACGGAGCACACAAAACATTAGTTTGCATTTTGATTTCACAAACATAAAGGTGATTTACTTAATTTATCATTGTCAGTGGCGGCTCCAGGAAAGCAAATTAGAGTGGGGACAGGGAGGGACATGCACGTTGGAAAAGTAGATCACCTAACCCCCACCATGATTGGGGTTGAGGAAAGAAAATTTATG